CATCAAGTACAATTGAGATATATAAAGAGAAAATACTTTTTTTGTTATATAAAAGTTATAATAAATTATGTAACTTATATTTAACGTCTCATAAAGTAGGAGAAGACTCTGCAAACTCTTCGTGGGGATGCAAGTCAGTGGAATTATATGAACCAATATCAATTATTGGTCATGAAAAGTGGGTTCAAGAATGAGATATTTTTGACTGTTTGTGACTTTTCCAAGAGAAAAGTATTAATAAATTATTTTCAAAAGATGATATCATTTTTCCTGTAGTTGCTTTATATATTTATTTTTTGCTTATACTTTCTGAATTGGAATCATTTTGATGTATTAATATTTTCATTTTGTTGATTGTCGTTACTTGAAAGAAATGTACCGCCGTTTGGTTTGGATTAAAATCAAATTAAAATCTCAAGTCAAAGTAAACAATTAATTATAATCACACCCTTCATGGGATTCACAACTTTTCTACCACACATTTTNACCGCCGTTTGGTTTGGATTAAAATCAAATTAAAATCTCAAGTCAAAGTAAACAATTAATTTTAATCACACACTTCATGGGATCCACAACTTTTCAACCACACATTTCATCAACTTTTATCAAAATCTACTAAAAATTTGATATTAATCTCTACCAAACGGGGTAATTTTTGTGTTGATTTTGACATGACTTCATTTGTTGTATCGATTTTTTTAACAGACGTACGATATTGATGATTCGAATGATAAAATTTTCATACAAGGACTTTACTTATAACGAGAATAATATTTGTTTATTTGTCATTTTATTGGCGTCTCTTACCCTTGACGGAATTGTTGGTGGCCTTCTTCACCCTAAAACTAGTGGATAAGCTTCTTTCAAACTAGTATTAAATATCAAAACTTAAATTACGCGTCATCTTTAATCAAATTAGACTTTTGCTTGACGGAATTTTGTTCATACATTTAATTGGCGTCTCTTACCATTGATGGAATGTGGTTCATACATTCTAAAGCAATAAAGAATAAGGAGGAGCACTAAGATTTTGATAGTTGCAAGGTCGCTCTTTGGCAACGCACTTGGCTATTGTTGCATTGCACCTCGGCCCGCTGCTGGGGGCGGCCGCAATGATGCTCAGACAATTGGCTCTTTTGGCCCTGCAAACAAGTCATGATAAAAAGAGTGTTGCTCATGGGCTGATTTACATGGGCTTATGTGTGGTCAGCTAATCTCATAGAAATTTTTGAAATTTTGTTTTTAAAATATTAATTTTTTTTCCACTTTGTACCTCCCA